CTACCCAGGCTAGTTTAGTATGATTAGAAGTGAGATGAAATCCAACTATGTAGTTGGTGTAATGAAGTTAAAGAGACAGTTACGTACAACATACTATTATGAGACTGCTTGTAAAACACTTGGCATATCTAGTAGGGTAAATTGGTCATTCAGTTCAGTGAGAAGAATGCCAAGCTACCCTATCCTTCGAGTTCTGCCATGAATCAGGATTTTGTTCCACATTTGTTCATTACTATCAGAAGAGATTGTTCTACACAGCGAGTGTTCTTGAGAGAACTCATTGTTTTCACCCTTTGAAATATTTATTTAGTTTGCTTCTGGGTAAGGGATAAAAAGAATTTGTCGGTTATGTTGCAGTCTAGCGTAGAAGCTTTCGATGTCAACAGAAACAATGAACCAGTGCATAAGAAAACCAGTATAAAACATATACCTAGTGACAAGATATTGAATAATCTTCCTCTTCCCCCCTAAATGAACTGTTTCTCACTTCATTCACCAAACTAAATTTTCTTCAAAATATTCTTCACCTATATCCGCTAAGACTCAGGATATATTCCAAACCAATATTATTAATAACCCAGTCCCACTAAATATTTTGAGATGTGATCTGTTTCACCTTTATTCTTCAATTCTTTACAATTTCAAGTTATCGATCAGAAAAAACGCAGAACGTATTCTCAGAAGAAACGTTTTCCACTTCCTGCTTCTGATATTATTAATTAACAGCCACGAATTACTTTTGTTAATTAATCGGCCGAGAAAGTTCGTTTTATTCTCTTGGCATAAATTAATGCACTCTAGAATAGTGATCCATCAGAATGGTATACTTATGCAAACAAAAGAACAAAACTGAAATTCTAATGTTGGGCTTATTTTTTCTTAATAAAGATGTTTTCCAAATTCGTTTAAGTCCTTCAAACATTGATTTTCTCAAAGAAATCAGTTACTTTTTCTTCAAGTTTTGGATTAAAAAAGAGGGAACTATTTCTAGTCAGTGTGAACCTTCATAATAAGTAAACTGTTACGATTTAATGTAGAGTCCCTTGCGGCAAATGATCTACGCATTTACTGAATTACTATTTGAACCCCAAAAGCTCAGTGGTGACGTCTCTGACTGTAACAATGGATGACGTGAGTTCGAATCTCAGAAGCGGCATGAATTCCCTCAAGGTTGCAGATACGCCTTACTGACTGGTAAGTATCAACTATCACGAAACCTAGGTCCAAGGTCTCACACCTATTGGCTCCAACCATCTGATACTGCTCAAGTGTTGGTTTGTAGGGATTTGATTGATTGGTTACCGGATTTCATCATGAACTGACATCGGTTAGAGAACCATTGGAAAACCTGAGAGTGCTGGACAGCTGTTTCGTCCTAGTTTGGGACTCTTTGTCAGTACGCACCCACCGGGGTTCGAACCCAGGGCCTTCTGGTTACAAGGCGAGCTCGCAGACCATTAAGCAGCCACTGGGACCTGGTCCAATGGCCAGTGCATGAATTCTAACTTCTGCCAATTCACGACATAGCGTGACCACTAGCCAATGTCTTCGGCGAATATTTGTCCTCACACCCGACCTGCTGCACCCTACTGGTCACGACTTCCCACTAGAACCCCAGGTAACTACCAACGTGAATAGGGCTAGTCGCCAGTGAGCATCTCATCGATATTAAAGTGTTGGTGATACTAGATTGCCTGCCCAACAGTATAAGAGAAGAAGAAATCTTAATGATATTTTCTAACAAGTGATAGGAAGGGTTATAATACCACGCATGCGGTAAGGATTTTTTATTCAAGAAAGATAAATTTGAGCTGTTTAAAGCAAACTTTACTATATATATACATATATATATATATAGTAATTCTGTAACTTCTAGAATTTTAAAGTTTTACAGAAGGTTTGGCCAAAAATTAAAAAAATATGTTCACACGCGTATTTGAGGCTTTACACCAAAAAATTGAATTTTTATGTTGTGTACATAAAATTATCCCGGTAGATATCAACGTTGCTCCTAACTCCGATATTACGATCTGTTCCTCAAAGGGAATAAAAAATTTATTTCCGATGCAGTTAAAATTCTCTCCTATCTTCTGACTACTGGAATTGTATACTTTTATGATCATATTCGATTTAACATACACTGAAAAAAATACTTTAGCAGCATAATCTTAGCACCAGTTAAAAAAGTTAATACTTTACGACCAGATCACTGAAAATAAATCACAATAACAACCTTTTTTAAAGACCAGCAATTTAACAGACTATTCAATAAAAAATAAAACACCAATCCTCATTAAACATGTTTTGAACACAACCATAACAATTTATTCGCTATTTAGCCCTAATTTATTTAACTATTTTCATAATAAGCACGATAGATATCATGGGTGGAACATTGGCCAACCATTCGAATGGTTCACGGTTCATTCCACGACCGATTCAATTCTTTTGCCTCAACCAGCTGGTTTTAAGCGCGGTAAAGAGACGTGAGGCTAGCAATTTCATCGTGCGTCGGTGGCACAGTGGTTAGGACTCTCGCCGACCGTGCACATGGTCCAGGGTTCGATCCACTGCCGGCGCACACCCAATATCTATGGTCGGCCTGAATTTGGGCTACCGATATCCATGCTGAAAATTCCATACTTGTACTGAAAATACGGTGTGGAATCAAGCTGTAAAATCAAAAAAAAATTAAAACAAAACCAGTCCTATTAGAACTTCAAAGCTCTAGCTGGAAACCCTATAGTTCCACACTAGTAACGCGAAGGAACAAAACTAAATAAACAATAGAAGAACATCGCAAAAGGGAAAGTGTGGTAAGGAGTTTTCAAAATAAAAAATACTTGTATATATTTATCCTTTATATCACTCTGTAAGATTAAACTGATTTGATGTCTAGGAAAAATTTCTGTGTAACATAATAAACGTATATATTTCTGCCTCCTAAATGAACTTTACAAGGCAGGTGATAGTGTGGTGGTGTGATACGGACAATGTCTTCCAACGGAATATTATTCTCATATATTCCAACATTTCAATTCTGCATTAGCAACAGAAAAATATATATATATTTGATCATTCTATTTCATGTCGTTGAATGTAAGCCGAAATCACATGCTCAGTGATTGGTTAAAGAATGTAAGCTGTATAGATATAAATAAATGTTTGATTACTTGAAAATGTACCTTGGCTTCCATGTCTTACCTTCTGCTGTTACAATAGATTCGAAGACAGTTTTTCTTCCTAGTTAACCAAATTAAGTCTTCTATTCATTTTATTTCCCTGAAATACCAGTTAACTATATTTTTAATTAGTTTATATATAGTTAATTCAAATTAATTATCAATTAATCGTTTTGTAGAGACATCACCTAGGAAGCAGTGTTTCAACCACAGCTAGAGGAACGGATAAAGATGTCAAATTTAGTCAGGATCAGAAAGGCAAGATACGCTTTCATCAACCTGAAACCAGCTTGGAAATCTTCTACTTCACTCAGCCAGCATAAAGAACAAGATCCGGATTTTCAACACAAATGTGAAGTGAGTTAGTGCTTTTATTTGGGTCAGAAAAGTGGCGGATCACGGAAAGCATTTCCTACAGGTAACAGACTTTTATCATAAGCCGCTTTCACTCCATACTTAAGATCGAATGGCCAGAAAGAATCAGTAACAAGAAACTTTTAGCAACAAACCAACCAGCAGATATGTAGGGGAAAATGGAGATGGATTGAGCATACGCCGAGGAGACTGTCGAATGATACCGTGCACCAGGCCCTCAAGTGGAACCCAAATGAGAAACGACAATTGGGTCGTCCAAGGATGATGTGAAGGAAATCATGTGGTGAGAAGGAGATGAGAGGTTATGGGTAATCGTGGACCCAGCTGAAGAGGAGAGAGCAGAGAATAAATGTGGAGATGTGTTGTTCCACTAGGAACTCAAGGGAACAATAATAATTTTAATACTCATTTTGTGAATTAGCACACTCATTATGAACAATATTCTTCATAAAATAATTCTAACTGTTATTTAATGTTGTCAGAAGTTTTGGATTTCATTATTTCTATTTTGGTGAATAGTGTTGGAACTTTTGTATTTCTATTTTGTACCAGCGGTATTCATTTCTTTTGTTTTTGTTATAATAATGCTATGCTTTGGAACGATGACAAGTGAGTTAACGCTGTATCTAAGACTTTAGTTCTGGAACCACGAAAATAATTCAAAATGAAGAGTGAAACCCTGCTGCAGCTGGTCGGTGACATTTAATGCACTAATACTTGTCGTCAGAACTTAGATCTTTCAGATGTTTTGGTGAAAATCTTTATTTTCTTTAACATAACTATACTCCATATGTTTACTCAGTACTGGTTACATGAATTATTTATAATAGTTAATTATTGTAAAATATAAATGAAACAGAGTGATATACGTGAAAAGTGTTTTATCACGATTTGCAGATAAGGATAACTAGAATATCATATACACTGAATACGAAATAGAGTGAAGAAGATTTACTTAATTCTCAATAAGTGGACACTAAATAAGGCAAAGGGATTAAAGTTACACCTCAATACCATGTTCTTATCTTCATCAGTGTACAATTACAATGACAGTTTGGAATGAAGTGCTTATTTATAACATGGGTATCAATGGACTCATAAAATACGTTCGTTTGTATTTGACAGGTATTTCTAATCTATAAGCTTAAAAAGAGCATGGACAAGTCTTGAAACAGTATAAATTACGTGAATGATAGGCAGGATATCAGTGAAATTACTCAAAATTATTCAAAGGATGCATCCTTATTTAAAAAGAAATATCTATTTCAACAGCGAATTACACTAACATTTCATTCTTCTGCATGGCACATGTGTAAACTCTGTGAGTAGCTAAGCTTTATGTTGGATAACCTTGTGAGTCACTATACATGAAATATAATGACTTATAAAACTTCTAGAACCATAAAACATGTAAATTTAATGATTTCAAAAGAATTTAAGGGATCATATCACTTAGGTAAAAGAACAATTAAGAGTCTACGGATTTGAATACTATGTATAGACAACTGAGGACAGAATTAACTGAAGGAGCCCTTAACTTCAGTTATTGTCCTAAGAATTTGACAATCCTCAATTAACAAAAACGAAACAGCCAGGTTTTAGAGCTTTGAAGCTAGATACAAAGACAGTGAAAATGAGATTTTTAGAGCTGTGCCATTGAAATATCATTTAATTGCTACATTGTGGAACATCCAAATCCCTTTTTCGAAGCTTTATTAGCTTAAAAGAATAAATAGGTGTTTGATTCATCATGTTTTTGGTTTTTTTGCAAAACTATGCCTTTTCAGCAAATACCCTTTCCGCGAAGTGAATCTGCCAGAATAGAATGTGGCAGAATCTTTGAAAATATTAAAATTGTAATTTAATTCGGTAGTGTTTCGATCAAATTATCTGGGATTTTTAAATTATGACCTGGTTGTTGAATCCATTTCAAATTTTATAACGGAATCCTTATTGCCACTGTGATGACAAGAATCACTTTAACAGCGGTTATTTTAAACGGAGAGAATCAAAACGTTCACAGTCATCATAAAATGAAATATTTCAGTGATGAGTTTAGGAATGACTGAAACGCAAGTCGTCTTAGCATTTTATGAAAGTTAACTAGGAACTTAAAATACGCATACTACTTAAATGCACTTAGTGTTTATATTTAGGACAAGCCTTCATACATTTCATTATTACTGAATACTTTCAACTACAAAATGTAATATTGCATTATTTGCAGTAAGTGGTAGCTACTCACAGAATGTGAGAGACAGAGGTTTCACCCATAAAAGTTAACACGTGAGTTGCACTAGCACACTCAATAAAATCACTAAACTTCGTATTATTCACCATATTTGCCCCTTTATTTACTACAAAAAGTTGAAACTTTTGTAGTTTCATACTTGATCGGATTTCAAAATACGTAGTAATAGTTAAACATAAATAAGTAAACCACGTTTTGAAAGAAATATTCGAATTCTTCTGAAAATAATTCAATATGTGTCCTTTATTTACTGTTGTGACTTGGGGAAATTTTTCAATGACTACTAATTTAGGCACTATGCCAAGAATATGCTAATTCCCTCATATTTGCAATAAATTAAAGGAAAAAAAAATGTAGATGAAATTTCCATTCTAGAGAACAAAATAAAATCACAGATTATAATTTCGTTACTGAAGTATGGTCAAAAACAGTTTAACGTCTCCAGAAATTGATAGGAATGATTTTACATTTCCCAGTCTCCTTGGGGACTGGTCTTACAAATGATACAGTAAGCCAGTGAAATACAAAATAGTCTACTAACTTTCTGGAAGTCACTGAGGTTTAGACAGTTAACTGAAACTCACCGCTGTTTTTTTACACACAAAGCTAAATGAAATGAAGTAAGTGTTTCGACATAGTGGTTAGGACGCTCGCCGGCCATGCACATGGTCCGGGGTTCGATCCCCGGCCGACCCACTCCTTTACCTGGTTAAGGCAGAAATAACGCTGGTAAAGGGGAAAGGTTGGGCATGAGGCTAGTAACCCCATCCTGCAAAAATACAAAATGCTACAGAAACTTCAAGCTGGTAGCTTGAAGCCCCATGTTCCACTTGGAACGAGAGGGAATAAAAAAAGAAGTGTTTCGACATGATTATTTCTCATCAAAAATGTGAATTACCATGAAATAAGTACCACTGCTTAAATCAACGCAGAACACACTTAAACGGCAAAACTTACTGAGACACTGGAAAGTTTTGAATTCATCTGTAACACTTTTTTGGTTATATAACTGACCATTCGTTTGATTATCATATTCTATACTGCTTTTCCAACTACTACGCCAATTTGTATTATCCTCTATGCTGCCTTGACCACCTAACCACTCACAACTAAGTGATGAATTAAACTGGTCCATAGAATTAAACGATTTTAAATTTCCTAGGACTATCCCTTGTGATACACAGTATTGATTACTTAAGGAATTTATTGATGCGTTTACCGCTGAATCATTTACACAATTATTATCTGATGCAATAGTACTAGTGTTCATAAAACTCATCACATCTGGTTTTCTGTCTCCATGATAGTTATTATGAAAATCTGAAAAATGCAAGTCACTTGACTGGACAGTTCCATTTAAACAGTGTTGATGGTTGTCATTAGTGAAATATGAACTTTCGAGACCATTCATTATTGAATAACTTGAAAGTGAATGCGTCTGTGAAGAACCGGTATGATGATCATAATGATAACTAGAGGTTAAATAATTTTCGTTGGAAAGATTACTACGGTCATTGTTCGTATGTACACTGGGATCATAACTTTCGACTGAATTTGTTAAGTTATCCGTATAGTACCTTGTCCATGGGATATCACTGTTCATGTAGTCATAGTTAGGGGTTACTTCTTGATCATTAACATTACTATGTTTTTGTAAATGTTTACCATGATGGGAAAACTTCTGATTGATATTACAGTATGTATTATTGCTACTATTTATTTCGTGAGGAAAAATATTGTCTGTGTTCAGGGAAGTTAGTGAACCATTATTATTATTACTATTATCATTATCCATGAAAATACAACTTCGATATGATGTATTACAGTGATTTTCTTGATATCCATGCAAATCTTCGGTTTTCAGTTGATTAAAAGTAGGAGTGGTTAATTCTGTTGTCAACTGGCCAACAGTATAACACTTTATCTGTGTATGCATATTTTCCAATTCACATAAATTCATTTTCTAACTGGAATTTTGAATAAAAATTAAGATAGATAAACAATATGCAACATTTTATACATTTTGAACTCATAATCAATATGAAAAATAACGCAATCAGAATAACATCAAACCTAAGAATATATAATTCAATTTATTTTTCATTGGTTCTCATTCTCAGTATCTGGGCTTAAAAATGAGTCAATGTGCAGAGAATCTGCATACACTTAAAACACAAGACTATTAAGCAGAGTATTAAAACTGAATTTATTAAAATACTTAGTTAGCATTTATAACCAAAACGTTATTTTATCACGATTAAATGCTTGTCTTTAGAATAATCAGGATCAAAATTAACTCTAATGACACCTTTTTCATAATTCTCAACAAAAAAAAAAGAAATAACAAATAACTCCTGAATTAAATGTCATATTTACTTTGCTTTTATTGTCATACTGTTTAGCTAACTAACAATGTTGTACACCTGCCCAACAGCGAATTCTTAGATAACGTTCTGAGTGAACACTTCCGTTGGTTATAATTTTAATACTAAATATAGAAAGATGAATTAAGCGTCTAATGCTTTGAGTCTATGAGAAACATCAGAATGCTTAACAGTTGACACGTATTTGGAAACCATATAAATATATGATTCTTTTGTATTAGACATGAAGTTGTACAACTCATGACAAATCAAATAATGGAAAACTGTACACATTAGCTTTATATTCTGATTGGACACTAGTTGGTAACTACTGTAATCTATTTATTCCTTTGTTTAGTGCAATGTGGCCACCATTCTAGATGGCTCACCATCAAGATGCAGTGTGAAACGTTGTGAATAGACGGTTGGAGACAGTCAACAGGAAGCCTTGGACCTAGGTTTTGTGACAGTTGACACTTACCAGTCAGCAAGGCGTATCTGCAACCTTGAAGGAATTCATGCCACTTCTGAGAGTCGAACCCACGTCACCCATTGTTGCAGTCACAGACATCATCACTGAGCTGTTTGGACTCGCGACTGACCCCTTGTAGGAATGTATTGAATACTTTGACTAAGGACTAATTAGTAACTAGTTTAATGTGTCCAGCCATTTGTTTGGTGCAGACTGAATTCTATCAGACAAGTGTCAAGTGACGAGTGTCAGCTTAGGTCCAACTCTTTCTGATGATCGCATACAACCATCTAATATTAATTTAATATTCTGTTTATTCCTGTTAAAAATGCATTCGTATGAGACTAAAACTAGTAACTATTCATTGTACATCTTCAAACCTGAAATAGATACTGGTTTTCGTTTTTTCATTTATGCTAACAACTATTAGTCCTAATAATGTACTAAAAATTTTTATTATTAGGAAATTTAAAACTGTTTATTTCAAAAATAGCACTGAAAATGTCTTCTGGAAGAAGTGCTGCTTAAATTACTATTCTGAAACCTTAATGGGGATGTTCACATACATACCTATATTCAAATGTATCTTTAACATGTAGGATTTTGAGAACATAAATATGAAAAGAAGGTCAAACAGCTGCCTGAGAATCCTTACTTGCCGTTTTCATTCTTATGATGCAAGTCTACCTATGAATATACTACAGTGTTGTATTTCTGATAGTCTCATTAGTTTCTCAAAAGGACATCTACTGATCGTCTAATCATAAATTTAGTGATATAGGACGATTTTAGTACAGTTTAGTTTTGATAGTGTATTCGGCCGAAATCGGGTAGTAATGTTTTACAGGTCTAAAATAGTTTAAGATTTAAGCATTCCAACAAGTTGTGCATAATAAGCCTATGTGCAAAGAACACTACCTAAAATACCAGCCAAAAGTAAACTATTTCCAATGCAATTATTTCACTTGATTTTAATGGTAGTTTGCTTATGAAGGTCGAACATTTTATACATAAGCAAACTTTGAAAAGAAATTTCAACACCTATGAAAACAATAAGCTAAAATAACACCAAATTTGGCCACTTAACACATTTTTTAATTCTTGTGAGTAAGACCATGGTTTCAAGTTTCAGTAGTGGTGTTATTGTTTCAACGGTATGGAGTTGCTAGCTTCACTTCCAAACACTTGTCTTTTCTTGGATTACAATCAGCTAGCGAACTAGGCTGGGTGTGAAGATTGTGTTAGTCGGGGATTGAACCCCGACCTCTCGCGTGGCTAGTAAGCATTCTACCATAGAATCATTGACGTACATTGCTACACTTTAGAATCTGTTTAGTATTAAATACAAATTCGTTATACCAGACTTAATTTTATCCTTTGGCCTAACGAACGCATAACCAAATACGCTTAGCCATGGTTGTATGGGTTTTAAGATTAAGTTATTTCAGTCAAAAGTCCAATAACAAAGCGTTCAGTTATCATGGAAACGACTTAGAAATCTAAGTGGAATCTTCTTAATACACTTTCTCACAGCTGCTGAAACCAATTATCTAACAAAGATTTTGTTTATCCTCACATTTTTAAAATATTTTAATGAACCTTGTTTTTGTTCACCATGGGATATACTTAATAAAAATTTAGTAAGAGTCATTTTACTAATACTGAGAAAGTTAAATTGAAAATCCATTTGTTAGACTTAGAAAATAATCAGCGTAAAATGGGATGGTGCTCAGATTCAATCATAAGTCATGGGATAAAATGCACTTTTAATTTTTCAAATAATTATTGGATTACAAACATCAAGAGTTATGTAAGTACATCATCTAACAAATATATAGATTTATTGTAAACTCATTTAGAAACAGTGCAACGATTGAGGTCAAGAAGAAATATGTTTTTCTGCACTCTAGTTAAAAATCAATTCAACAGCCTGTAGGAAATGTGTGCTTTTACTTTTGATGTGGTTGTGTTCTCTGAGCTGGATAGTTAATTTGCGAAGCTTTCATCGCCCTACTAGGTGACATCTTCAGCGCATACTTCAGTGAGCTTTCAGATTTCTCCACGAGTTTATTAATCATCTCTCCTGGTGACCTTGGATGTGATTGGTTGCTTTTGTGTGTTTTCACACCTTCTAGGCTACTTGTATTGTCACTCATTGTTTCTTTGACTTGAACTTTGTCCCTTCCTGAGTGAGTTTTCTTTCTTATCGGTTGATAAATTTTGTCTATCTCGATGTGTCTATTGATTGATGATTCACTGGAATGCCAAGCTTCTAAAAATTCTCTAGCATTTTTGTTGTTTCCTCTGTCTAATATTTGAACATTGTCCCCATCGAATTGATGCCCGTGGTTGTCTGTATATAGTGATATGAGGGAGTGGATATCATGTCTTTTGACGGCTAGCTTATGTTCGTCGATACGAAGAAGAAAGGGGACGTCCACTTTGGCCAATGTAGTGTTTTTCGCAGTTATTACAATTTATTTTGTAGATGATGTTGGTTTTATCTTCTTTCGCTGTTGAGTCTTTTGGTTGACATAGAATTAAGTGAAGTGATTTTGTTGGTTTGTGTGCGACGTCAATTCCTAAAGGTCTGAAAAGTCTTGCTGTGATTTCTGAGATGTCCTTTATACATGGTAGGGCTATTTCTTTTGTGCTTTCTTTGGGGGCTTTTGGTTTGATAGGTTGGCTTCGGGGCATATGTCTCTTAATGAAGTTCCGTGGATATCCATTCTTTTGGAAGACGTCCATGAGATATCTCTCTCCATTTTTCCTTAAGGTGGGAACGCTGCAATAAGTTCTGGCCCAATTGAATAGTGTTTGTATGCAATTCTTTTGTATGTTATTGGATTGTTTGTTGCTTTTGTAATTCAGTATTTGATCTGTGTGAGTCGATTTTTTATTAACTTGGGTTTCTAATTCCTCTGTGGTTGTTCGCTTGACTAAGACGTCCAAAAATGGGATTTTGTTCTCGGATTCCTCTTCTCTTGTAAATTTGATGTCGTTGAAGACGTTGTTTATTAAGTTGTGAGTTTTATCTAACTCGTTTCTTTTGATTATTACTAATGTGTCGTCTACGTAACTTATCCAAATTTTTGGTCTGATCTTTGGTAGGATCATGTTTTCGAGCCTTTGCATCACTGCTTCTGCAATCAAACCTGATATTGGCGATCCCATGGGTGTTCCTTTGACTTGTTCATATATTTGGCCGTTGAATTGGAAGTACGTTGTTAGGCAGAGATTTATGCATTCCATCCAGCTTGTGCGTTGCATTTTTGATTGTTGTGGAAGGTGTTAGTCCTTGCTGAGTAATTACTCCATGGTCTTTTTTGCTACTTTTTGTCTGATTGAGGTGTATAATGCTGTGACGTCAAGGGATATCATTATTTCTTGGTCATCTACTTGGATCCCCCTGATTTTCTCTAGAAATTGGATAACAGAGTTGGTGGAGTGATCACAAGATTCCTTTAGGTGTTTCAGTTTTCTGTATAATTCCTTGGATAAATTATATGTTGAAGTTCCTGGGAGTGATACAATTGGTCGTAACGGGACATTTAGCCTGTATATTTTGGGTCTGCCGCAGAATCTTTAAATTGAAATACTCGCTGAAGATGTCGCCTGGTAAGGCGATGAAAGCTCAGCAAATTGATTATCCAGCTCACAGAACATAACCACATCAAAATCATCCACCTGAGGTACAAATCTTTTCCATCAAATCTGTATGCTTTTACTAAAACGGATGTACAGTTACTGGATAGAAAACCATTTACATTCTTGCTAGAACTTGAACTTGAATAAAGTACTTTACTTAGCATCGCTCAGCGTTGCAAATAAATTGCCACGTGTTCTATATCCACTGATGACATTCTCCCCTTAAGTGGTGAGAATAGTAGCTATTTAGATGAAAAAACAGATGGGATAAGCTAGAAAATGGTAGAAAAATGGGAAAAGTAGGATTTAATGTCCCATTTTTCCAGTATTCGCTCACATCTGACCAGTTCAAAATCACCGAAATATCTTATGTTTAACTAATATTTTCCACTTGCATTAACCTACTGGAAAATGATTATTTAAGACATCTAATAGTTATGTGTGACCATCTATCAGCACCATTTGACTGACAAGAGT